CCTCTCACACAAGGCAGCACGAACATGAGGGAGGGGAGACAGCATAGCAGACAGAGACACATACCTTGTGTGTGGGGAAAAAGAGAGAGAGATGCACACTGCCCCTTTAGTAAGCTGACTCACTCTTAAGTGCATTGCTTTTTAAGTTGGATCAGTAAGTTGAGACAGCAGCTGCTGCCCCAAGCTCTCTCTGTCTCTCTCCATCCGTTTCCCTTCCCTGCTATTTATGGAGAAGGGGTAAGCGGGGTGCAGGAGCAGGGGGGAGGGGGACACCCTGACATTAGCCCCCCCCTTTCCTCTCCTGCACAGCAAGCAGGAGTCTCTGGGAGCAGCTCCAAGGCAGAGGGCAGGAGCAGCACATGGCAGTGGGGGGAGGGACAGCTGAAATGCCGATTGATAGCCTGCTGGGTGGCTGCAGCACAGGGAACTTAGGGGAGCGGGGAGCTGATAGGGGCAGGGCTGGCTCCCATGTTTTTGCTACCCCAAGGGACGAGGGGGGCGGGAAGCCGCGATTGGCAGCACTTTGGCGGGAGCTCTACCGCCGCTGCTTCATTCTTCGGCGACAATTCGGCGGCGGGTCCTTCCCTCCAAGAGAGACTGAGGGACTCGCCGCCGAATTGCTGCCGAAGAACCGTACGTGCCACCCCTTTCCGTTGGCTGCCCTAAGCACCTGCTTGCTGCGCTGGTGCCTGGAGCCGGCCCTGGATAGGGGGGCTGCCGGTCCACCCTGGTTCCAAGCCTCCACCAGCTAGCTGCAATGGGCTGCTCTTCTGTAAGCAGTGGACAAAGCAGGCGGCTGCCAAGCGACGTTAGAAGGGAGCATTACACAACTTTAAACGAGCATGTTCCCTAATTGATCAGCAACTTAACAACGTTAACCAGGACGACTTTAAGTGAGGAGTAACTGTACTAAAGGACCACTCATAAATATAAACCACTCCAGTCCCCATCCTGTCCCTTCTGTAGTGGCCTGAGAATAAAGATGGGCTTTTCAGTGTACCTGAAGGTTAATAAGGTTCCAGTGAACCAAGAGGGGAGTAAGTTCTAAAGTCAAGGAACCTCACACAAAATGCCCTGCTAACTGCCTTGGAGGACTTTAGTAAAGTTTGTGCTTGGACTATAAAATGCAGAGTCTAGTGTATTCTGCACCAGTAACTGATGGCATTGGCTTGGGGAGAGTCACTGCTGTTGAGGATAGAGGGTACGTCAGACTTTCCTTCGTGCCAGGTTTACACAGGAGCACTATACTGATAATAGTACCTAGCTCTGAAATGGTACATTAGAGTTCAAAGCACATGATCCCATTTTACAGATGGGCAAACAACATGTCTGAATGGAGCCAGGGAATCATCACACATTACTCCTGCCCCTTCCATGCCATTTTTGCTCACTTGCTGCTGCATTGACCGCTCATGGTTCTCTCTGCAAGGTCCCAGTGGTGGACCTTGGTCCATGGTATCGGTTTGCCTCCCAAAGGACCTTGCCCTTCAGAAGCAAACTGTTCCCTCAGCATTTCTGCTGCTTCAGAATTTGGCTTTAGGTAGCTGTGGTGTTGTGTAAAAGTCCCCACCAGTAGCTCCCTATAAGATGACTGAAGGAGTTGTATGCTGACTGTTTGCAAAAGGAGCTTTTTCAGCATTCCTCATTAGAAAAGTATGATGGAAGACGAGGGGAAGGGAAAAGTTAGCCCTACAGGTATTTCAATTTCTTCCTTGGTTTTTCTGTAGGCGACCTGTGTTCCCACATACTGCAGATACCAATTTCACAACCTCCCTCCTCATCAAACGCAAGGGCAAACCCATGGAACTCACATCTATTTTAAAGATGTCAATGTGATTCTAACAGGGACAATCAGTCCTGGGGAATTGCGTGAGTATTTTAGAGGGCCACCTTTGGAGATTGAGGTTCATGACCGGGACAGAAAAATGGCAGAGGACATTAAAAAACCCTCTTTGTTTGGTGATGAGCAAGATGATGGAGAGCTGAGTAATGTGGGTCTTGTCTCTTACAAACACACAGCCTATAATCCATTTACAGAAAAGGACAATTTATGGCACCCCTATGGGGTAGCTAAAGTCAGTCTAACTGACCTACTACTAGGTGAAAAGTATCTAAATATCAGTGTGCCCATTCATAGCTGCTCAGTTCCAGATCCTGGCTGCCAGAAGGATAGTAAGACTGAAAAAATGATGGGAGTATTGGGATCAGTGGCTGGCCCTCAGACTTCTCCATTGCCTATGGGACATTATCTAGAATCGGACTCAGTCCTGAAAGTAAGAGTTGAAATAGCTGTGCCGCTAGATCTGCAGGCAGAAACTGCTGACACTGAAGTTGCAGATTGCCCATATGGTTGCATTATCTATATTTTTGACTACAATAATGCACCTTGCTTACATGATTTGCTGCAAGAGATTACAGAAATTAATGCTGAAGCCCTCCAACTGGATTCTTATCCTCTACAAGTAATTCAGATGGCTCTTGCTACTTTCAAACTGAAAACTGCGACCAAGGAAATTTCTGAGCTGGATATCATTACTGGTTTTCATATACTGGATGGAACAATTCATCTTTTAGTCTTGGAAGGATTAAAGGACAAAGCAATCAAGAGACTGTGGGAACAGCAATTTGATAAGTAAGATAGTTTAATGTTTTCAGTAATTATTTCCCTCTAGATTTAAACTGCTTTAAACAAAATGTTGCTGATTTTTTTTTCTTTTGTAAAGACAATTGTTTGATTTCGTCCCTGGTGTTGTCTCTGGAGTTATACAAGATATGAATTTGACCCAATGCCTGGGTCAAAATCTGAAGACTGACCCTTACACCTTTATCAGCTATCTGATAATCCTTCAATGCATAGAGGGCTATGATTAGAAGAATACTATAAATTTACAACACGGCACTTTAAGCTACTATGTATCTTGTATAAACCACACTATTTTCTTCAGTAAAATTCTAAATAATAGAAGTTTCCTTAAACTTTTCATTTTCCTGCCTGTCTTCTGCATTCAAGTTAGACATGGCCTGAGCTCAAAGTTTTGACTCAGACCCAACTTTCCCTAAAGTTTGAGGGTGTTTGGATCTGCAGTTTATTTGAGCCCATCTCTAATTCAGATGCCGAGCTACATTTCCTGTGTATCAAATCATGTCATCACACTGTTACAATGGCAGGTATCTGTTTCATTGATAACAATTTTTGCAGAAACACGTTTAATGAATTGTTAATTAGAATTTCTTTCTCTCTTCTTGGCTAATTGTACAATAACAAACCAATGTACCTACATAATGGAAGACACATAAGATTTAGTAATTAAATATTTCAATTTCAAGTTTTCTTGAGATTAGTATAAGTGAAAGAGTATAAGGAAAAAAAATTAAAAATATGTAAAGAACCCTTGAGAGTGGCTATGCCTTCTTGGCAGTTGTTTGGACAGTATGATAGATGTGTAACACAGGCAGGTGAAATGTTGTCATGAACTCCAAATATAGATGAAAAAGGCACCCATACTGAGACTAGGGGTAAAATTTATAAAAGGACCTAAGAACCTAATCACCTTTGAAAATGGGGCTTAGACTCCTAAGTCACTTAGGCCCTTCTGAAAATTTTATCCAAAATCTGTTTGTGCAAATATATGGTACACCTGGAAATTTATAGGTAATTTCAATTATCTTGCAGCTCTTGCCTCAACATTGTCTTTTAAATGTGCTACAATTTTCTACAGGTTCCATGAGACACGGTACACCCAACTATACTTAATAATTTAAACCATTTTTATTCGTTGCCCAGTACTTAAAAAATGTATTTTCAGGGGATTTTTTGTGTGTGAAAATACAATGTACACCTCTAGCTCGATATAACGCTGTTCTCGGGAGCCAAAAAATCTCACCGCATTATAGGTGAAACTGTGTTATACCGAACTTGCTTTGATCCACCGGAGTGCGCAGCCCTGACCCTCCCTCTCCCCCCCCGAGCACTGCTTTACTGCAGTATATCCAAATTCATGTTATATCGGGTCGCGTTATTTCGGGGTAGAGGTGTATCATTTTCTCTCCCGAAGGTCCATAAGATCGGGGGGTTGTGTGGGTGCATGTATGTTCCCCATTTCATGCAGAAAAAAAGTACTACAATTTGTGTGGACTAGCTTCTTTTTCTGACATTTTGCATTTTGCCAAGGCTGTCCCAAGAAGGATTTCAGTCTCCAGGGCTTGCAATTATATACTGTACTTAGCCTCCGGACTGAAATGTTAATGTTAAGAGAAATGGTAACTAATGTTTTTAATAAGCCCATCACTTCCTATGGACTTTTAAAGTTTTTTTTTGTTTTTTTTTTGCTTCATTCTTTTCAAGATAAACTGCCTATAAGAACATTAGTATTGACAGCAACCCTCTTAAAATACAACCTTTTAAATGCATTGCAAATCTTTTCCAGGGGAATTTAGTATTTGTGGAAGGTGGTATATTGATTTCACTGGAGACTAAAGTCTCCTCTTTATTCACACAACAGCAAACCTGCCAAATCATTCTTTCCCTGTGGACTATAGACTTTTGGCTCTTTCTACAGGGAAACTCAAGCAATCTAATGACTTTCTAATGACATTCAAGAGTATTTCACATGAAATCTGAGTGTTATTTCTGTGTGTTAAAGTAATGGCCCTCAGGCTAAAATGTTTGTTATTTTCTGTCTTCCTGCTCTCAAAACATACATTTTCAAATGCTCAGGTTACCCAGATTATCTCATAATACATAATTCTAAACAAATATTTGTGTTCATATTTCATCCTATATAAGTTCTGAAATTTGCTATGAGAATTTTCTTGGGTGGCCTTTGAGTTTGTCATATTTTCCCCTGACCTCAAAGTAGGGTAGCTGAATTTTCAGTCCCTGTGTCTATTCAGTCCTTGGCCTCTCTGCTGTCTACTAAAACATTTTGTTTTTTGTTTGCCGAGGCTGAGACCAAGGATTAACGGTAATTAGTGTAAACTGTGAAACTGGGTAATGTCCCAATTTGTGTGCTGGGAAGTGGACTAAAAAGAGTTTTATAGTCTCAAGTGGGCCACCAAATGGTAACAATTTGGGATCAGTCTCAGTCTGGTCTAGATTAGAACTAGTGTCCTAGAAGTAAAAAAAAGTCTGGATCCTGTTTCTGCCTCCCCACTCCAACTTTCCAACTCTGAACCTGTTTTACTCATGTGAGTAATCTTTACTTATTTGAGTATTCCCATTGACTTCAATCCAGGATTGAGCCCATAAGAATTCTTTCCATGGCAGCTTAGTGCTAAGGATGTATTCATCACTTTAAATATTTGGACAAGTAACACAAATACTGTAGTGTAGTAATGGGCACATAGATACAAACTGGAGTGGCACAGTGAGTTTCTGATACTTTTAAACCTGGGGATATTCAGAAGGTTGCAGGTAGAATTTGGGTACTTTGTGATTAGAAAGTTCAGATTACTTTCTGGGCTAAACCCCACACAAATTTCACTGAAATGAATGGGGACATTGACTTTTTAGAGAGAGAGAGACACACACACTCACACACCATATACAATTTATAATCTTTTCTAAAAGGTTCCCCTTTCACTTATATAACTCCTACAGGATTTGTAGTGAATGTGGGTCTTCCTCAGATTTCCAGATTTAAAAAAGAGTTCATTTCTTTTTTTTTAAGCATTGAAGGAATACAGAAACATTATTAATTGCTTTCCTAATTTATTTATTTTTCTTTGCATGCTTGTTCCCTTCAAATTGTTGAAATGATTTATTTCAGTAAAAAAGTCCTTTCTTGTTGTGATCATGTAAATCTCTGATTCTGTTTCTACCCTGGTAATTGATATTGTACCATTTTTGTAACTATAATAAGGGTAAATTTGGTACTCTAGTAAACTTCATTGCAGAATATTACATAGTGTGGTTAAATATGAGGCTGGGGTTTTTTTTTATAATAATTCATGGCAGGTGTTTTGCAAAAAAAAAAAAAAGTTGTTATTTTAAAACCGTTGGCATAAAGTGTCAGAATGGCAACAGGTTCCATCTACAAGAACAAAGACAAGACAGTTTTTCATAAGGGATTATGCTGCAGCACTGTGGGATTCATGAGATAGACTGGTTTTGTAACATTGCTTTTGTGGTGCTCTGTTGCAGGACTCACAGAACTGAAAATGGAAGGTTGGATATATTATATAACTCACAGCTGTCTTTCCATCAGCGCCTGTATACAGACCTGGAAGCGATCCTGTATCATATCCACCTCTGTAAACCCCTCTCTTCTATAACAAGACAACCTCTCCTTTATGTCAGGGATATGGTTCCTCAGGCATGTTTCCAAGCCTTGTCCAGGTGAGACCATTCCTAGATTTGTAGTCAGGAAACTGATAATTGAAGCATCACCAAAATAGTGTGAATATTTGATACGATAATTAATGCCTTTGGTTTTGCTTTCACAAAGAAAGCAGGTCAGTGGGACTGAGAGTGAGTTTTAGGTTTGAGATCAGGCATGGGAATACGGCAGATGAGCACGATGCAAATGAGGCATGCTTCGTCTCTGGGGATTAGAGTGCCAGTTCATCACTCTCCACCTGCTCCTGCCCCTCAAATAATTTTTGAAATCACCCCTCTCTGGACATGAAGTTATTCCTTATGGGGCAGGAGAGTTAGATAGGAAAAAAGGAAATAAAATTGTCTTGTGACAGGTGCAATGTCCCACCTTAACACTGGCTGGGAGTTCGTTCCCTGCTTAGCTTTCCTTCAGGTGTATAGGGTGAAGGAATGGAGCAAGGCTGAGGACGACAGGCCCAGTCATGCACTCAGACAAGCCAGGGAAGGCTCTAAACACAGGTCCCTGGCAGTCAGGAGAGAGGAGCTTTCAGGCTCAGTTCAGCAGCATATGGCTATATTCACTCCCGTTCGCCTCAGAGTATCCCAAATGTTACTTGTGTGTTTAGTTTGTTAGAAAGCATAACAGTAGTCTGGACAGAGAGAGAGCGAGTGAGGGTGTAGCTGCAAATATAAAATGTTACTTTTTGTGAAAAATGTGGAGAGAAAGTCATCTGTTATGCAAAATCAGCACACAAAAAAACCCTTGCTTTTGAAAAATAGGAAATGGGTTTTATCCATCTTTGAAATAAGCAATTCAGGTGCTTAGAAGGCTGAAGAGAGCAAGTGGATACTTTTAGTTCCTGCTGTCAATAGACTGGCTCATTCAGATTATTTTCTGAACTAAAATCCACACAGTTGTCACCAGGGCAGACTCCAGGCACCAGCGGAGCAAGCATGTGCCTGGGGCGGCACGTGCTAAGGGGCGGCATTCCGTCCATTCTTGGGGCGGCAGAGTCCGGGCAGCTTTTTTTTTTTTTTTTTGTCGCTTTGGCAGTTTGGGTGGCGGCAGTCGGAGCATTTTTTTTTTTTGCTTGGGGCGACAAAAATGGTAGAGCCGGCCCTGGCTGTCACTGAAATGACTGGGGATTTTCACTCCTGAGGCAGCGAGAGCACCCAGCCTTTGTTACTTCTTTCAGAGGACTCAATTTCAAATGATAAATCTCCCACATTGCTCACCTACAGTGCTTATGGTGAAGCCTCACCAAATAAGCATTCAGATTAAATGGCAAAGCTGTTATTTCCAGCTAGAGAGGAGGAGAACATTGTTAGTGGCTTCCACGTTTCTTTTTGCACTTCTTGTAACCTTGCAACAAAGGAGTGACTCAGATACAAAACGTCACACGATTTTGCTTGATTGAGTATCATTTCCAAGTGGCTGCTGCAGTCTTGAATACTGCAGTGTGTGTCTGCCAATAGCACATGCAGGCTTTGATGCATCCGACTTGTTTAGTGCATGTGATTGTTTCTTTCTACTGCAGGGATTTTTATCTTTCCGCTGGTTAGGAAAGATAGAAAATGTGGCAAAAGACC